ACACACACACACACACACACACACACACACTCACACACACACACACACACACACTCACACACACACTATTTGCTTGAGTGACAGCTGGGGAAATAGTAATTTCACAACCACTGCCGTTTCCACACCAGGAATATTTCCACTCTGACAGGTTACTTCTCCATCAATACTCATAAGTCTCTGTCTTCCTCTGGGGAGACCAGGGCCCAGCAAAGTCAAAGATACAGAACAGAATTCCCATCCGAGAGCCAGTCAGTGACAGAGCAGGGATAATCACCTGCACAGGTCCAAACAACAACCGTGGCAGGAAGACAAGGTTCAGCCACAATGTAATGTCACATGTAAGAAAGAAAGCAGAGAAGGATCTGATCTACCTAGAGCCTACCTTCATATCCTTGTATCTCTAGCACAAAGCTGTCCTGTGAAGAGTTACGAGGTTGTATCTGCATGGGAAAACTGACCAGTAGCATTGGAGAACAAGTGATTTTAAAATATGACACTGGAGCATGGTTGCTGATTTTTCTAGAAGCAACCTTGGTACAAATGTAAAATAAGTCAGGAGCAGAACTCCTCCCTTCCCTGTATATTCTTGGGTCAAAAGAATTCATGGCTTTCAAAATGCCAGTAGGTCAGAGGGCAGTGGTGTTCTCTATTCCATGCATCCTGACACCAGCAGGCAGCCTGCCTAGGAACCTCAAGGGTTCAGCGGAGCTTACTCCTAAGGGCTGTTACTATTCAAGATTAGATGACCCCCAAAAGCACACTCACTTTCCCGTGTGACCTCATGTACTCCCCCCTCCTACCCAGTGTAATCAGAGAAGGCAGAAAGAGTCTGAAGTCCCTGCATGCACAGAGACTGAGCGAGACGGAGAATTTTCCCATGGCTATGTAGCATCATCCAGCTCCGTGCTTCCTCGTCATTCAGGCCTCAACTCTTACAGCCTCACAGAAAAGTCATCTGGGCTGAGAAGGATTGCAGAGCATGCTGGGCCTCAAGCTAATGGTCCTCTGGATGCTTAGTGTATATGACTGCTGAGAACCCAGAAGAGGCTGTGATAGTGAAGCCTGTTCAGCTCTATCTCGTGCTTCATTTTCTAGACTGACTTGATCATGGAAATCTTCCTCTAAAATCCACTCATATCTCTTGGATTCTTTGAAACATTGTTTAGAAAAATATTGAGTTCAGGTCTCTCTCTTTATTGCCAAAGGTGCACAGTAGTGTTAACTGGGTGAATGAAAATGCTATAAATTAAGCCGTGAACATGAACTTAAGACTCTAGATTTTCCATAAGCCCTCACACACTCCTTTAGAAACCTTGTCCATAATGAGTCGAACACGGGTCACCCATTCTCCCTCTCCCATGTGGCTAGACATGCATGGAAGAGTCAGGAAAGGGCATCAGGACAGTCGCCTCTGGGTCCAGACTGTAAAAAAATGTCTGTTGCTCATGTTCTGAGTCTGACATAGGACAGACAGAAGAAACACAGAATGCTGGGTTTCAACAGGGGCCAGTTACTTTAGGCTCTGTGTCTGCCTGCCTGTTTGTTTGGACAGACTTTCATTATGTAGCCCAAGCTGGCCTTGAACTCACAATCCTGCCACAGCCTCCTCAGTGCCGGGTTTATAAGTATGCACATTGCATTGCACCTTAGACTTTGTCAGTTTTAAAAGACTGAGACCACCTGACGAGCTGAGTCAACTGGTTGCACGCCACCCTCCATGACCCACCCTTCACCCTATCCTACCCCCTAAAATATGATGTTTATGCAGCAGGAGAAAAATATGTTTTAATGTGTCTCAGGTCTACAATCCCTTCTCCAAACTCTCTGGACAAGTGTATCCTCAAATTCTGCCCTTTAAAAAAAGATAATGAGGTATGAATGCCATGATCAGGTAATTCCCTCCCCAAACTCACAGGTAAGTATCTGCACAGTGAAACGTGAATATGCGTGATAAGTGAGAAAACACAATCTATAGATAGTTTGCAGGCATTTCCGGTCAGGTTTTGCTCACATCATGGGCTCTAGAACCTAATTCATTTGAGAATCTCATAGCTGTCTGGGCTGTGGAGTGAGTCTTACAAGCCCTGGCTGGGCTTTTAGTGGGGATGCTTGCCTGATACATGGGGAAAAAACAAAAACAAAAACAGAAACACTGAGCTCCGTCTCCCTAATCGATCCGAAAGCTTCTCGTCAAGACAAAGAAAACTCACATCTCCAGCATGCCCTGTTCAGTGTTCTCACCTTAAACAGTGTATTTCCCAGTGTGAGCTAAGGCCAAGGTTCCTTGGCTATGGCAATAACCTGGTCTGCTTGGATTTGGAATTTGCTGTTAGAGGAATCCGTATTTTCCCCATGAAGGATACACGACTTCGTCTTTCACCCTCCTGGCTTGAAAGAGGGAGTTTCCAAAGGAGACTGTGGAAGAACAAAAGCTCACTGCATTGTTCCCCAATAAATTTCCCCAAGTCACTGAAAAGCTGCTGTGCTGCGTGAATCCAAGTCTGGTCACACGGCTTCAGTCCAGTGGCATTGGCACAGTGGCGGGTGACTCCTCTGACTTCTGTGGACTTAAATAGCATTGGGTTTGAGTTCTGGCTTTTAACGGCTTCAAGGGCTAACCTTAAAAAAAAAAAAAAAAAAGTCAAATGCAGACTCCCATCTTCCAGTTTTCAAGGGGCCAGCACAAATTTAGTGAAATTCTCATAACACAATCATCATTTGTCTTAATGAGTAAAGTACCCAAGTGACAGGATATGGAATACCTGGCCACAGTACTAATCACACGGTGACAGGTGTCCCCACTCCCACAGTGGGGCTTGTAACTACCCAAGCTGGTATACTATTGCAATATAATACTGGAGGATTTCGCTTATAAAATAGCTGTGGTTTATGCATTACTATGGAAGCCACGTTGAAACGCCAAGATTGTAACTTCTCCACACGAGGCCATAGACACAGTGACACAGCTCTGACACAATAGCCTGCTCCAGGTGACACTCCAGGTGAGGCTCCGCACCTCACTCATTAGACTGATCCTATTCCTGAGTGTTTTCAGAGACCCGCAGACTTAACAGCTCCCTGGTGCCTGAATCATCCATGTCTGCATTTAAGCCCTTCAGGGCCAGGTCATGGCTATTCGGCCCAGACTTCTCAGATAATAGGCCAATTATATTATGTCACCAGAGACCTTATCTCACCAGATCATTGGGCCTATTAATCTCAAAGGGGAATTTCCTGAACCTCATGCCCAGCTGGGGATTTAGGACAATGAGTTCTTCTCCATTCATCTGTAATTCCTGAAAATGCTAAGGTGCCGATTATGGCTGTGTGTATTTCTCTCCGAGTCTTCCGCATTGAATACTCAAAGCAGCTGTGGTTGCCAGGCAAGGCAATGCCAATGGGGAAGGCAACTTGTATCCAGCAACCCAGGTGGCACTTGCTTCTAGTACAGGGTGGGCATCAGGAAAATACAAAGAGTGTCTGCAGGGTGTCCTGGTCATCTTCTAGCTACTGTAACAAATTACTGAAACCATCAAGTTATAAAGATAATTTGGGAGGGTTTAACCCGTTGTCCATTGGCCCCATTGCTTTTAGGCCTGTGGTGAGGCGGGGCACCAGGACAGCAAAGCTGGTAGGTAAGCAAAACAGAAGAGGAAGAGGAGGCCCAGGGTCTCGATATCTGGTTTAAGGGTGTGACCCCCATGACCCAGCATCCTTCCACTGGATGCCACCTCTTGTTACTTTTGTGCTTTTGTTTTGAGACTCAGTCTTTCTGTGTAGCTCAGGCTAGCCTCAAACTTGAAACTCTCCTACTTCTGCCTCTTTGCCCAATTTTGTTGGTTTGGTTTTTAGTTGGTTCGGACTCTTAAAAGCCCACTGTCTCTCAACAGTATCACCCAGAGAACCAAGCTTTAACATGTGGGCCGCTGAGGTCACTCAACATCCAAACCGTAGCAGAAAAGAATCTAAAATGGCTCCTAAGCAGCCATAGTTTGCACTATGTCCAAGCAGAGGGGGGAAATCGGAGCTGAGCATCTTAGTGGGTAGCCGTGTGGGTCATGTCTGGCTCTCTGCAGCAAGAAGATACTCCCGCCCTTGGGGGCTGGTGGGAACATGCAGAGAATACAGAGTGTATATTGGGTGGCAGTGAGTGGAAACTCCAGAGAAGAAGGAATTTCTAAGACAGCATGGATAGGTGGGCTACACAAGGCCTTAACAGAGTATCTAGACCCCAAGAGCCTTATAAAATACTGCCCTGGCTTTCTGGCCCACTCACAAACTTCTTCATCTTGCCATCCACTGGGTGCCCTCTGGTCCCAGTATTGTATTCAGAAATGCTTGTTTAGAAATCTTTAAAAATCAAAACTTGGTATTGAAATAACTAATAAAAATGATTGACAGGTATCCTAGGTCTTTACTTTAAAAATAAAGAAGGGACAATGGTCAGGCAAAAGAGTCATGGCCAGAGCAGCCCAGCAGCTGTGTGAGCTGCAACCGATGCTTGCCCAAGCATAAGGCTGCTGAAAGCTCGTCACAATATTCCATGAGGAATATTCTAGAATCGGATGCCTTTGGTGCCTCTCTGTGCACTACAGCATTTCTGTTACTTACAGTAAAGGGGCCAGGAATGACCTCATGAAGACAGCAGACAGAACCCCTAGCCCTAATTTAGATCTGTGGGTGCCAAAGACCTTGTAAGGAGCTATCCACTCACTACAAGGAGCTGAGACCTAGTGATTGAAAAATGAAAGTTTATCCTCTTCTTAAATATAACGAACAATGGAGATTATACTTTAAAGACTGGTCATTTAGAAAAGAAAGAATGTCACTTTCAAATGACAAATTATAGAACTTGAGGTCAGACGGGTGGTTACTTGGGTTCATCTAGGGATGGGGAGGTCATTGGAGGTGTGCCCTGGAGGATATTGGGGTTTGCACCCCTTCCTAGCTCCATGAAGAGAGCAGGTTGACTCCACTGCATGTGCCGCACCCTGAGTACTGCCTCACCACGGGTTCCAAAGCACCCAGGCCGAGGTTTCAGTGAAACCACCACATGAAGCAATGGGAAGCTGATTCACATCCACTCCATCTGCTGGGCAGTGGCAGTGGGATGCAGGGCCGAGAAAGAATGCAGTCACGAGAAGAAGCACAGTAGGGTGTGCTGTCAGGTCAGGTGCTGGAGGCATTTCCAAATCTCCAACATCCGGCACCAGTGGTTCATCTGTGTGTCAACCCATCACCGTTGGAGGAACATCTGTACAAATAAAAATGAGGGCAGGTAAACTGTGAGATCTGAGTGACCTCAGAGAGGCACCAATGCTGGTGACCAGGTTTGACATCATTCTAACTCTGTAAGATATTACCCCCCAACCATAAAATTAGTTTCATTGCTTCTTCATAACTATAATTTTATAATTATACTATTATACATAACTACTGTTATGAATTGTAATGGAAATATCTTGAGATAGAGGTTTGTCAAGGGGTCGGGACCCACAGGTGGAGAACAACTGCTTCAGCATTCCCCTGCATGCTGTTTCTCCAAAGAGCACTTCTGCAGCTGTGCATGTTCAGCCTGTGCAACAGTATACAACGTGCCCTCCTGCATCCCGCCGCTGCAAAGGGATACATCTCAGTTAGTGTCTTGTTGCTGATTTTCTTACCATCCTAGTGTAATGATTTATTCTGCTTCACAAATTGCTCCACCTTTCAAGCTAGCCTGGTTTGGCAGATATCAGCATTGATATCTTGATTACAGCGGACTCTCAGGTTCTCAATCTGCAACTGTTTGAAGTTCAGACACAAAACAGTTTTTCTGTATTAACCGGCCCTTTATTGAACACTTACTATTGGCTGAAAAGACTGATTTCTGCACACACCTCAGCCTGGGAAGCCTATGGCAGGAAGATTTTATGGAAATATAAAAGCCATATGTGTTGAGGCCAACAGAAGCCAGGTAGTGATGTCAAGCCCCAAGGAAATAAATAAAGGTTAATTTCTGTATTAGAGTTACTCTAACTACAATGAACCCTAAGTCACATATTCATTTGTCTCTTGGTGTCTTTAAGGGGTGGTCTCTGAATCTACACGGTCACCAATATCTGAGGTGGTCCAGGCTCTTCTGTAAATGTATGTTATTTGCATAGGAGCTATGCACATTCCTGAAAATACTTTAAACCACCTCTATACAGCTCATAATAAATAACACAGAAAAACACTATGTAATTCTTGTTCTGGTATATCATTCAGGAAATAATAACAAGGGGAGAAGTCTATACACGACCAGTACAAACCCAGCTTTTGTGCCTAATATTTTCCATATACAATTGGTAGAATCTAAGACAAGACCCAGTGCACAGCATCCAACCATCGCCCTTGGATGGCTGGGGACATATATTGTTCAATCTGTTGTTGTGTAGGCCCCTTGTGATTCTACAGTTCACAGTGGAGCCAGGCACAAGAGAAACCCAACATGGTCCAGCAAGGAGGCACAGAGTCATTCTGAGACAAGTGAGTAATGAATAGGATGAGGAAGAGGTGGCAAGAGCAGATAGAAAAAGGGCTGGACAGGTGAGGCGGGCTTGAGTCCGTGACTCACATGGGGCTCCCCTTTGTCAAGAGGGTGGGGCACAGAGAGCATGCCCAGGGCCGTGGAACCCACACCCAGCACCAGCTCTTCTCTGCTCTGTTCCTCCCACCCCCAATTCCCATCAGACACAGGTGTAAGGGATGCACAAAGCTGCTTCTTCAACAGCAAGTTGGCACAATGCCTCAGGTGAGCTCAGGCTTGGCACTTTCTCCACACTCATAACAGGAGCCTCACCATGAAGGGTTTGAGAATGAATAAGAGAGGGTGGAGCAAGGTGACCTTTAAGGTCCAGCATCTAGAGACTTTCCTGGGGCAACTTTCATCTCTACACATGAACACACACCGTACACTGGCATACACACCATACAAGATACATATTAAGTACATACATATAAACTATTCATATGCACACACACATCCCACACATGCACACACAAGTATACACACCACATACCATACACCAGGCACACATACACACACCACACACATTGAACATACCACATCACACACACACTACGTACATACCACATAAGGCACCACAGACCACATACACCACACACACACACACACACACACACACACATCACACACATCACACATATACCACCACCACCACACCACACTAAGAAGCTCTCACACTCCTGGGATTTTTCTATTGATCCCACTCCCCTAGACTCCCTGATTTGGCCTCAAAGATAAAGGAAAGACATGTATTTAAGAGACAAAAAGGAAGGGGAACTGGTGGGGGAGCGGGAGGAGAATATTCTTCAACCTTTCTAAACTACAAGACAAGTTTGCGTCGCAGCTGTGCTTTTCCCAGCTCTGTGACCTTGTCCCTCTGTGCCTTACTGGCCTCGTCTGTAAAACGGAGGCCATGAGAATGAGGCTGAGGAGGAAATCATGATCTCGTAGGGTTTGGAGGGGTCTTGAAGATGTTGATGTACACGAAAACGCGAATGAGGGCAGTGCACACAGAGTGTTCAGTACTCTGGAGACGTTCTTATGAACTCTGGCTGGAAACCCCTGCACACTCCTCAGAAACTCAGTCCCGCCACCTCTACCCCCGTCCCCCTCCCTTCTCCCCCCCCCCACCCAACACCTCTGCACTCCTCTTCCCACCCTTCCCTGTCAGGAAGCATCCTGGCTCAGGATTGAGCGCGGGCCTCTAGCGTTTGGCTGCTAAGTTTTGTGTCCTCCCCACACCGGGCACATGTGTTAAGGACTGGTCCCCAAGATGCTTTGAAAATGAAGCCTGGTAGATGGAAGTTGGGTCTTTGGAGGAAGGGCCCTGAAGGGGACTGCTGAGATTCCAGCTCTTCCCTTTCCCCTTCCTCCACTTCCTTCACCCTCCCCGCCCTCCGTGTGTGTGTGTGTGTGTGTGTGTGTGTGTGTGTGTGTGTGTGTGTGTGTGTGTGTATTTGGCTGCTATGAAGTGGGCGGTCTCCCCGTCACACGCTCCCTTCATGATGTCTTGACTTACCACAGATCCCAAAGCAATGACCCAAATGGCTATGAATGGAAACCTCCAAAGCAGCGACAGAAACAAACCTTTCTCCCTTGTAAACTAACTTCTCTCGGGTGTCTGTTACAGTGATGGATCAAAATGAGGTCCAAGCGTAGCTGCACCCCAGCCTTGCTTAGCCAAGCACTGACCCTCCTGTGCCTGTGTCTTCTACCCTGCCTCCTGGTCACAGCCACGAGGACACAGCAGCAGCTGGGAATGCTGTCCTGAAATCAGCATATAGGAGCAGCCCACTCAGGTACCAGATTCCAGCACGCTGGATTGCCCAATTCTGCCGTCATTCAGGCTGCTTCCCCATTCCTCCATCCTCCCCATGGATAGGCCACAAGAGCTGTCGGGAAATGCACATTCACGGTCTCCCAACCCTGTGTTCAGAGCCTTCCCCCTGTCATCCTCCTGACAAACCCATGACTTGTCATCTCTTCTTGATCCCCAGATCTCCGTCTGCCTTTCCCAGGAACATGACTCAAGTAACAGTGTGCTGCTGTGAAGATCAAAGGCCGCAGATACACAATGGTGAAGGAAGCGGATGAGAGGGAGGAGCATTGGAGGGGTGGCCAGCCTTCCTGTCTAGCTGAAGCGGAGGGACTTGGTTGGCTACTCTAACAATTCAAGATCTATAATGTCCAGGGTCCCCAGAAAACAATCTGCTACTGATGACCATGTGAGGGAGGGTTACTTGAGTTTTCTAGGTCTCCGTTTCTTCTCTGGTAAAGCGGGTTTCTCACGGGGCTATGGTAGTGATGGAAAGGCCTAGAAAGCATTGGGCATCTCCCAGGGTACCTGTCTCTCAAGGTGAGCTCTCTGTGGGCATCAGTGCTGAGGCCTGGAAATGCCAGGTCTTGTCAACCTATGGCCACTAACCAGGTCCGCTTCCTGGCCCTTTCCAAAGCAGAAGTGCCTGAAAAAGCGGGTGCAGAGCAGAGGTAAAATGAGTCACGAGAAACTCATGTCCCCTTCCCTAACTATCAGAACATCAGGAGACTCCGGTCAAGGGGAAGGATGGCTGCAGAATCACTTTGGTGAAGTCCTCTGCGCAGGCCCGCGGATAAAGACAAGGCTGTGTCTTTTCCTTTTTTTTTTTTTTTTTTATTCACAAGAAGGAAGAGAAGAGATCCCACAGCTCAGACAGGCAGGAAAGCCCCAGTCCCTCCACACGCCAGCAGTCTGCAAAGTCAGCTGAACAATGGTCAAACTCATCCTGCAAAGGGCAGGCCAAGGGAGGGTGACAGAACTCCACCCCCCCCCCATGTGCCCTAGAGTCCCCATCCCCCAGAGGACGGACAGATCTATGCCTGGACTGAGTAGAGCCTGCCTTGTCACAAGAAGAAAATGGGACAGCCAACGCCATCTTTCTGTCTGAACAAAACAAAACAAAACAAAACAAAACAAAACAAAAACAAACAAACAAAAAAAAAAACAGGCAAATATCCCAAACATGTCAGTCCAAACACCCTGGCCTTGTCCATTTCTCTGTGGCCTCAGCATATGAGCCAGGTGCAGGGCAAACGCAAGCCTGGCTTGGCCTCTCTCTGGAGTCCCTGGCTCAGCCAGTCAGGCCTCACCAGGAAGGAACCTGGGTGACAGTAGTCCCAGAGTCACAGGCTCTGCTGTTACTATTTTTTAACGTTTATTAAATGCCATGGCACACTGAGTCTATGGGGGCAGCAGGAGTGGGTAGCTTTGGTGGGCTGCCGAGGCGAGAGGTAAACAGACGTATGGCATTCCAGAGCTCTGAGGGCAGACGCCCCTCCAAGCCGGGGAGCTGCTTTCCTGCGTGCGTGCGTGCGTGCGTGCGTGCTGTCATCCCTAGCACTGTTCTCAGAACTTTCCACCCAGCGCTTGGCAGTAGGATAAATCAGAGCCTGACGACTTCTTGGCTACAGTAACACTCTGCCCATGAGTGTCAACGCTGCCAGGCACTCCCCGGTGACATGTTTGGCTCCTTCATCCCAAGCACACAGCAATAAAAAGACAGCTGGATGCAGGGGGATGGCTGGAGCGTTCTTTCCCGTCACAAACTTGGACTAGCCTCTCCCGTCTCCGCCAGGGTAAAGTCAGTGAAAGTTTGACATGGCCGGGAAGGAAAAGCCAATAGTACTGGAAGGGACCAGACAGGTGTTGTAGGAGTGCATGGTAGAGCAAGGGGATGCTGGGACCAGAGCCAGAGCCTGAGCGGTCCGCACTCCTGGGTTCTGTTGCCCTTCATCACTCACTTCCCCTCATGCCCCATCCCTGCACCTGCTCGCACTGCCCACCCCTGTTCCAGGTACAATGTGGAGCTGCAGGGGTGTGGGGCTGAGGAACCTGGGACTATGGAAGGAGGCAGTCCCAGGCTTCACTGCTGCTTCTCCTCTGCCTTTAGGTTCCTCCTCTAAAATAGAGTTTGGGCTTAGTGGGTCCTCGAAGGTTCCACGAACTCTCTCTGTGCGAGCAAGTCTAAATGCGGTATGCAGTGCCCCCTGAATGCAGTGAAACACCCTGATTGCAATGCAACACATGCGGTACCCCAACTTCAACACAACACCCTCCGAAACAATGCAGCGCTCCTGGATTCAAAGCAGTCTCTCTTACGTACATGGCAATGCCCACTGATTTCAGGGTGATGTCCCTGGAGACAAGGCCAGCTCTCTCTCCTGAGGTAATGACCTGTAAGGACAGCGGGGCTGTCTGTGATTCTCCCAAGAGCAGGGCTCATCCCCACCCACCCTCACACTCAGGGCCTTGCCACGTACCCCGAGTCTGGCACCAAAGATTACCCTCCCCCCTCCGTGCTCACCCAGGGTACATTCTTGCTCACCCTTCAGATGACTCATAGCAGCTAGGGACAGGGTGCCCCAGAGCAAGCTGGCAAGGCATTGCCCATCCACCCCTTCCCCAGGTGCCACCCCAGGAGCTGTCCGGCGGCGGCTGTCAGCTGTTCCTGAGCTCAGGAGCTCCTTGAGTTACAAAAGCAGGAGGACATGGAAATTGAAACAGGAGAAGCCACCGGTGGGGGCCAGAGACGCCTGGGGCAGCTACGGAAAGACAGCTCTGCCAGAATGGCCACATTATTTATTGGTTCTCTTAGGGGAAGCATTTATGGTTATAAAAAGAGCCTCTTCGAATCACAAGCCACTCACCCAGCTTATTCATGAGTCTCCAAAGAACGCCCCCCCCCCAACACCACCCCAGTTTAATCAAAGACCACAGCCAGGGTGGGAAGTACCTAACAACTGCCTGCCAACATCAGAGTCATTGTTTCCCACTGGTTTCACAGGACACAGAGCTTAGCAAAGAGGGAAGAACCACATTGAAGGGAGGGGCCTTTCCTGGGCCCACCCAGCAAGCCCAGCCGCACAAGCTGCTGCTTTGCCGCCCTTAACCAAGGAAGGGTTAGAGGCCTGGCGATGTTCAAAGGCTCAAGGCATTCCCAGCACTCTGCAAACTACCACCCTGCTGCAGGGGAGGAGGAGGGCTGGCCAATTGAACACGATGTCATGTGGCCGGCTGTTGAGTGCTGGGATGCAAAGGCCAGAGCAGAGGCCGGGCAGCGAATGGGTTTCACCAGGCTGGATCAAGTGGCTGCCTTCCTGGAAACTGGCCTTGCGTTGCTAGGCCGATAAGGCAGGGAAATTGCTACCCTTGGTGCTCATGGGAAAACAGGTTGATGCTGAAGAAGAGCTGCGACCTGCTAACAGTTGAGACAAGGCAGAGCACCCCTGCAGCTACTCTGCCCCAGGGTAACTCAGATCACCAAGCAGGTGTGCATTGGGAGTCAACGATTCTGACCTTTAGTACGCATTCCTGAGCCTGAGACGGCAACCAGAACACGGGTGCAGCTTTCAAACACCCTACCTTCTCCATGTACCCCCCAGAAACCAGCCTCCACCCTGGATAAACAGTGGACCCTTGTAACACACACATGGCAGCCTCTCCTGGCCATGGACCCCAGTGCAGCAGCATCCAGGAGGCTGTGGATGAGCACAGGATAGAGGAAGCCACCTCCTGGGGACAGACCATCAGGTGTGTGTGGAAAGTGCTGGCCCTAGAGCCTGGCTGTTTATAACTGTGATGGGGGGAGGGGCACGCAGACTTCAAAGGGTTTAGTGGTCAGGAAAGGAAGCCTTTTGGCAGAGCTCCAGGGACAAGTAACTTACACTGATTTCTGCTCCACCACCATGGTGTAACAAGGCACCTTTATGTTGTAAGCCACTGCGCTCTCACCTTGCCTGCGAAGTACCCTCTCCCGGACTGTTCAAACACCCCCCCACAGTCTACCTCCGCCAGCCCTTACATAACCTCTCACGTGAGTTTTTCTTCAACATTCCCTGCAAGTAGCCACCAGCTCTCAGGAAGAGGGGAGTGGAGACTGGCGATGAGAAGCCTGGCCCCCGCCCCCTAAAATGCCCCTCTCTCAGCAGCCCTGCTTCCTAGCTGCTCCTGGGAGTCAGGATGCTCCCTGTGGCCTCACCCACCATAGCATCCTACTTCTGTTCCCAAAGCCAAGTGAAAGCCAGTGGGTCCCAGACTCTGCTCTCCACAGATCCTCATGAAGGATGATGGATTGCGTTCCAGCAGGGAATGGGAATAATGGAGAGAGGAGAGGGAAAAAAAGAAAGGGAGAGAGCGCTACAGCCTGCCGGCCATGGAGACAGCAGTAGAGAAGCAGAGGTACAGGCCACACACAGGGTCCCCCACCAGGAGGGATCACTTAGAAAGGAACACAAACTGCAGTGTGGGTGAGTCTCCCCTGGGAAAAGGGACCTAAAGGAAAGGCTGGGAAGTTGAGAAGGGAAAAACAGACTGACCAGAGCTGAGTGTGGTGACATACGCCTGCAGCCCAGGACTGGAAAGGCTGCGGCAGGAGGATTTCAAGTTCAAGGCCAGCTTAGATTACATAGCAAGATTCTGTCTCAAGTACTACTACTACTAATAATAATAATAATAATAACAATCCAGAGGCCGGGCTGTGGTGGCACATGCCTTTAATCCCAGCACTCGGGAGGCAGAACCAGGCGGATCTCTGTGAGTTTGAGGCCAGCCTGGGCTACCAAGTGAGTTCCAGGAAAGGCGCAAAGCTACACAGAGAAATCCTGTCTCGAAAAACCAAAATAATAATAATAATAATAATAATAATAATAATAATAATAATCCAGTAACAAAACAGGCAGTTTAAAACAATGCTACAAATGGAGATTGGTTTGAAATGTGTGGTTAGAGAAAAAAACCCAAATACATATTTAAACACACCTTCAAACATTTTACACACACACACACACACACACACACACACACACACACACACATACACACACACATACTCATTTAGTTATAGAAATTCTATTTATGCCAGAAAGCTAGCAAAAGTAAACAGTTGGGAAATTTTAAATATTTTAAACAGAAGAAAAGTATCCTACAAACAAACCATTTATATTATTAAGCAGTGGCCTCCAAACATTTCAAGAAAAAAAATGGCTGTGCTGGAGAGATAGCACAGTGGTTAAGGGCATTTGCTGCTCTTGCAGGGGATCCAGGCTTTCTTTGGTTCTAGCACCCACACGGCAGCTCACAATCATCTGTAACTCCAATTCCAGGGCATCTGATGCCCACCTCTACCCTCCACAGGCACCAGGCACGCCTGTGGTACACATACAGACAGACGGACAGAACACTCATACACATACAATAAAATAATCTTTTTAAAAAGAGGACAATATTAATGCACCCATTTCATAGCAACCAAGATCAATCTATTTCACAGTATTAGTTTTCAAAGCTGCAGAGGCTGAGACTGTGGCCCAGTGGCAGAGGACATGCCTAGCATGTGTGTGAGACCTTAGGGGCCTTCTCAGCACCCAAGAGAAAATACACTCAAACTGAAATTTTAAGCTTTTCCATCTGGGAGACTGGGCAGCTGTTCCAGTAACCACATGTATGGAGTGAGCACCATCAACAGATATGTGCTTCAGGGAGCCTTGGTTCAAATCTCCCCTAGGCCACTTATTGTTGTATGGTTCTAGACTGGTCCCTTGACTTGCTTCCCCCATCTTCAAAGGAAGATAATAGTGCCTCTTCGTAGGTGGGTGTGACAATTCATCAGCAAACCGCGGGGAGTTATTAGAACATCTCCCAGCTTAGCATTAGAGGCTTGCCAATGTTAGCTGTTTGATGATCACAGGAGATAACTTTACGACTTTTTATCACCCAGAAGTGTGTGGAAGCTGATTAACCAGTTAGAGGGTGGTTTCTGTCACACAAGTGAGGGGCTATGGGGCCAAAACTAAGACCCTGGCAGTGAGTCTTGAGAGAGAAGACCGAAAAAGAAAAAGGAAAAAAAAGTAAGAAACTGGATCAACAGACTGGGGAACAGATAAAATAGGAAAAGAAAAATGTATGCAAGTATGATCTAGAACTTTGCAGCACATATAGTCAAGAACTGACAAAAACTTTCTAGACGGAGATAGTCAATGGAAAATAGCAGTCACTGAGTATGTCCTACAGACCAGCCAACATCATCAGTGACACGCAAGTGTTAACTCATTCAATCCTTATGATAATCCTTGAAGATAAGTGTCATCCCCGTTTTACAAATAAGTCTAAGCCACAGAAAGCCTGCAATGTGTAATGACCACACAGCTAGTAGACAGAGGAGCCGGGCATTGTAGAATGAGGATAGGTGTAGAGCAAGGTCTTACTGTGCTGCCCAGGCTGGCTGAAATTCACTACATAGTCTTAGTTGGCCTGGACCTCTTCAGTTCTCCTTCCTCAGCCTCCCACATGCTGAGATTAGTGGACTGTACCATCACTCCGTGCTAGCCCACACCACTTAGCTTAGATGTCCACACATTTAATCTTCTAAAAGACAATTGCTTTATATATATATATATATATATATATATATATATATATATATATATATATATGTATAATTTATCTTTTATTATAACCAAGGAAAATTGTTATAACTATTCAGTCTTCAACTACATCAAAGACCCCAGAAGGATATAATATTACCTAAGTAAACAGGAAATGCATTGTAAGTAACTTCCAAAATCCTGGAAATGCAGAGACAGCTGGCTACCTAGAAAGTCTTCCAAAGTTCCTCTGCAACATTGGGGCATCCATCTTCAGCCTATAGGCCTAGAGTTTCTCAGTCCCTTCTCCTTGCTGCCTGCCTGCAAGGTGGATTTGCTCCCAGTCAGATCAGAGGATGACTTCAACTGTCTACTCCATTCTTTATTTGTGAGTGTATTTCCTCAATTTATCTTAATAAATTTCTCTAATACTTCTTAAATAGACTCCTATGGATTTATCACTTTAATCAGGTCCTGATCAACCTGTCTACATAGTATGGAAAGCATTAGAAGAGGCATATTTAGTCTAACTATTGGCACATGCCCACCAAGCCATTTCAGGGGCTCAGTAATCTTGTTATGCTGATGAATTAACTCATAAAGCAGAAGATTAATTTGGGCTGCCCCCAGTCACAGTGAGTTTTGTCAGTCATTGGGATGATAGTCAGTTTCTATCTCTATGTCGTAGGACATGAGTCAGGTGTCTAAACATAACCAACAATCCTGGCCTATGTCTGGCTGGGAATGATTAAGTCCATCCACAGGGTCCCTTCCTGTGGCATAGAGTCTGAATCTATAGGCCAGAATCTTTTAAATGAAGTTTTCCAGGAAACCTCAATTTCACAAACCTGATTTTTGTAATAGAAATTCCCTTACTTCTGCCAACCAGGGCTCCTAGCAAGAGGGCATACATACAATTGTAAACTATGACAATTGCTTTAGGGCTCAGGAAACTAACATTGACCTTTGGCCATTGTGTGCAAACACAGGAATGCATGTGCACACACACGCATATACATAACACACATCACACTCAATAATAGTTTGGTAGTGCTTAAGGGTCATCTAACAGAT